AGAATCTAGATGTTGCTGGCTTCTGGTGATTGGGTCCTCTTCCCTGCCTCCTGGGAAAAACCCTAGGAGCACAGAACCCTGAGAAGGAATAGTGTGTAATGAGCCAGGCAGATATACCCTTAGACAGCTGTGCAGAAATTCCCCTACCTAGCCAGAAAGAAAGTACCTGAATGAATTGCTCTTTTCTTCTGCTTGGTTCCTGGGCCTGAAAAGGCCAGGTAGATGAGAAGAAAGAAGTTGTCACTGGACACCTTTGTGAATAGATGGCTGAGGACCAGATGGGCCTCCCCTCTCAGACTTGGCACCACATGCCTCCCCCACTTGGACTCCACCCTAGGGAAAGGGAGGGGACAAACACCCAAACTGACTCACATTGTTTCCACCATCCCAGTGGAGGGGCTTGAAACAGAAGCTGACTAGAGAGGTATTTCTCCCACACCAGAGTTATGGATGGATCAACACACAACATCAATGTGTATTGAGTACTTATTATATGCTGGCCATTATATACTGGTCATAGCATCATCTTACAAGAAACCATCTTATTTAATCTTCACAATACAGATGAGGAATTATGGCTTAGAAAGGTCATAAAGGCCAGGCGAGGTGGCTCATGCCTGTAATCCTAGCACTCTGGGAGGCCGAGGCGGGGCGGACTGCTCAAGGTCAGGTGTTCAAAACCAGCCTGAGCAAGAGCAAGACCCTGTCTCTACTATAAATAGAAAGAAATTAATTGGCTAACTAATATATATAGAAAAATTACCTGGGCATGGTGGTGCATGCCTATAGTCCCAGCTACTCGGGAGGCTGAGGCAGCAGGATCTTTTGAGCCCAGGAGTTTGAGGTTGCTGTGAACTAGGCTGACGCCACAGCACTCACTCTAGCCTGGGCAGCAAAGCAAGACTCTGTCTCAAAACAAAAAACAAAAAACAAAAAACAAAAACAAAAAAACCCAAAAAACAAACAAAAAAATGAAAGGTCACAAAGCCCATAACTGGTAGAGCCAAGTATTAAACCCAAAGAGTTCCCACTCCAGGCTTGAGTTTTTAACTACTATATACTATCCCACCTCCATGGCATGAGTCTATAGAAAAGAGGGTACACTGGAGAGGGATTTCAAAGATAGAATCAATAGGCTAAGACTGAGAATGGAGAAGAAGGAATCAAGAATGGCTCCTTGGTTTCTGGTTTAGAGACTGTATTGGTGGTCTACTAATAACACTGAGAACGTGGGAAGGGTGGACTTGGGGAAATATGAGTTTGACTTGGACAAGTTAAGTCTACAGTTATACACTTAGAAATTATTGGCTTATCAGTGGTGTTAAAAATCAGAGGAGTGGATGAAATGTTCCTGTTCCTGTTTCTTTTTCTTTTTCTTTCTTTTTTTTTAGAGACAGAGTCTCACTCTGTTGCCCCAGCTAGAGTGCCATGGTGTCAGCCTAGCTCACAGCAACCTCAAACTCTTGGGCTCAAGTGATCCTTCTGCCTTAGCCTCCCTGGTAGCTGGGACTATAGGCATATAGTCCCACCGTACCCGGCGAATCTTTTTCTATTTTTGGTAGAGAAGGGTCTCGCTCTTGCTCAGGCTGGTCTTGAACTCCTGAATTCAAACAATCCACCTGCCTTGGCCTCCCAGAGTGCTAGGATTACAGGTGTGAGCCACCATGCCTGGCCAATGAAATGTTCTTGAAAGAATATGTAAAGTAAGAAGAGACAATAACAAAGGGGAAAGTGTTGGGGGACACAGGATTTAAGAGATGGACAGAGGGCCCAGCAAAGGAGATAGAAAATGAATTATCAGAGAAGGAAAGAGAGAGCCAGAATACAGTAGGTTATGGAAGCCAAGTGAAGAGAGAGTTCCAAGGATGTGATGGATACAGCAGAGAAATCAATCAAGAATGTGACCCTTAAATTGCTTAAGGAAGCAATGTCCTATATTTAACACTGTCTCTCAATTTTTTAATGCACAGATTTTTTGTTCTTCTTTTACATTTGATTTTATTATCATTTTTAATGATGCATAATAATTGTTTGTATTTATGGGTTATAGTATGATATTTTGATACATGTATATAATATGTAATGATCAAGTCAGGGTAATTAGCGTATCCATCACCTCAAACATTTATCATTTCTTTGTGTAGGGAACATTCAAAGCCAGCTTTCTAGCTATTTGAAGATATACAATAAATTGTTACATATATATATAAAAAAAGAAATCAATCAAGAAAATGATTCAGAAATGATCACTGAATCACTGGGAGGTCATTAGAACCTTGGTGAGAGCAGTTTCAGTCCCTGCCCCCTCTCCAAGTCATCCTCTCTCTAAGGGAAGCCTGCTGAGTGAGGGGCAAACTGAGCTGGATCTTTGGCCCTAGCCAGGCTGTAATAGCATCCTGAAGGCCCAGCCTGTGGGCAGAAGCTGCAGGCAGCTGGGAGAGCCTATCTCAGGCATGGGAACTGTTGTGACTCAGGACACACCACCCCAAAATATGACCGTAGGAAACCAGAATATGCCACCCCAAAATATACTTCTTGGCATATTTCGAGCTGGTTATTCTGAGAAACTGCAGACACAGGAGTAGCTCTGAAAAGCTGTCCTTTTGGAAAAGAAATTTAAATCTAAAAAGAAATCTACATGAGTAAAGTATCTGTATCAGGAAGAGGGCTACTCTGAGATAACTTTTGTTACCTTAGACACTTTATCTATTTAGGTCATTAAATACGAAATGTCCAATTTCAAATTAAAAGTGTAGTTTATTATATCTCAAACAAGAAGCAGTACAATTAATCAAAGTATGCACCTAAACTATCCACAAAGTTTTGCCATTTTAATGGTAGCTGGTCTATGCCAGCAGCAAAGAAGCCTGGAGATAGAGTGGCGATGAAATAGCAAAAGGTGTTTTCCACAGCTTGTTGAGAATTGAATATTTTTCCTTGCAAGAAGTGGTAGTCAGTTGGTGCAAGGTCTGGTGAATCTGGTGGATGACATAGAGTTTCCAAGTCCAGCTTCTGTAGTTTAAGCAGCATTGTTGGTGTGACATGTGGTCAAGCATTGTCTACAAGAGAATTGGCCTTTCTCTATTGACCAGTCTCAGCTGCTTACTTGTAAGCATCCTCATCATTTAGTCTTGGTTGCAGGAGACATCCAGGGCAATTGATTGACCAGGTTTCATGAAGCTGAAGTGGAGAATACCAGTGCTGGACTGCCAAACAGATACCCCGAGCTCTTTTTGATGGGTATTCAGTTTTGGGTTGTGTTTCAGCACTTCATATTTATCTAACCATTGTGCTTAACTCTTGCAATTGTCAAAAAGAATCCATTTTTCATCACACATAACAATAGGTGTAGAAATGGTTCGTCTTTATGTCATGACAGCAGAGAAAGGCAAGCTTCAAGACGATTTCTCTTCTGAAGCTCTCATTTCATTCATGCAGTACTCATCTATCCAGCTTCTTTGCCTTGTTGATTTGTTTCAAATGATTCCAATATTGCTGGAATATTAACGTCAGACTTTGCTGCCAATTCATGCATAGGTTGAGATGGATTTGCTTCCACTACAGCTTTCAGCTCATCGTTATCCACCTTGGTCTCAGGTTGCCCACATGGCTCATATTCAAGACTAAAGTTACCAGAATGGAACTTCTCAAACCATCTACATACTGTGCGTTCATTAGCCACATCCTTCCCAAATACTTCATTGATATTTTGAGCTATCTGTGCTGCATTGGTTCCACTATGGAACTATATTAAAAAATAACATGGGATGGGTGTGGTGGCTCACACCTGTAATCCTAGCACTCTGGGAGGCCGAGGCCGGCTGATCGTTTGAGCTCAGGATTTCAAGTCCAGCCTGACCAAGAGCGAGACCCTTTCTATTTTTTCTACTAAAAAAAAAAAAAATAGAAAGAAATTAGCTGGACAACTAAAAATATATATAGAAAACATTAGCCGGGTATGGTGGCACATGCCTGTAGTCCCAGCTACCAGGGAGGCTGAGGCAGGAGAATCACTTGAGGAGGATCACCAGGAGTTTGAGGTTGCTATGAGCTAGGCTGATGCCATGGCACTCTAGCCCAGGCAACAGAGTGAGACTCTGTCTCAAAAAAAAAAAAAAATTACATGAATTTTTGACTTATCCATGGTTTCACAAATATTGCTCTAAAAATCAATTTGAAAAATAATCACAAGCCAAAACATGTGTTTGAAAGACTGAGTATGTACCTTCACAATAAAAATAAAACAAGAAGTGTCAAGGTGAAATGTCAGAAATACCAACTGTCAAACTTAAGGAAATCAGACATTTCATACTTAATAAGCTAATACCTAGCAGGACAGCCTTTGTTCACCAGCCTTTGTTCATGCAGTTCCTCCCCCAGCCTCCAATAACTTGTGTTGCCACCACCCTGCAGATGTCCCAAGCCCCTATTACTTTCTGTAGCTTAGGATACTACATAAACTTCCAGTCATCTGAGCCTTCTTCGGGTCTCATGTTTTGTGGGACTCCCATGCATAGGCACCTACAGTCATTCTCTGCATAACAACATTTCAGTCAATGACTACCCTCATATGGAGCTTAAAAATTCCCATCATCTACTGATGTTGTAGCTATCATAATGTCTTAGAGCAACACATCACTCACACATTTGTGGCAATGCTGGTGTAAACAAACTTACTGTGCTGCCAGTTGTATAAAAGTGTACAGTAATGACCTAGGACCTAGGTCTTTGCATTCACTCACCACTCACTCATTAACTCACCCAAATCAACTTCCAGTCCTGCAAGCTCCATTTATTGTAAGTGCCCTAGACAAGTGTACCATTTTTCATCTTTTATCCTGTATTTTTACTGTACCTTTTCTGTTTAGATGTTTAAGTACACAAAAACTTGCTATTGTGTTACAATATTCGGTACAGCAACATGCTGTGCAGGTTTGTAGCCTAGGAGCAACAGGCTATATCATACAGCCTAGGTGTGTGGTAGGCTACACCATCTAGGTTTATGTAAGTACAGTCACTCTATAATATTTGCACAACCACAACTCACCTAACAACACATTTCTCAGAATGTATCCTGTTGTTAAGCAAAGCATGACTGTAATTAAAATGGTTTTTCTCCTGTTAATCTGTCCTATGTCGATTTAATTTGTAGCTCAGCCAAAGAACATAGAAGGGTAGATGAAAGCCATTTTTCACTCCCTTACAGGGCCATCTGAGGCTCCCAGCACCACACCTGCACACAACAGGCATTTAGTAAAGGCTGTAGGGCAAATGCAGGTAAGCCCAACTACTTCCTCATGATTTTATTTCTGGCAAAGGTTTCTTTACTCAAAAGAGGCCTTTCCCTAGGTAAATGAGGACATTCGCCTTCTGATGCAGGCCACCCTTGGTGAGTTGGGCCATTAGGTCCCCATTGTCCTGGGGCCTGCTGTCCTCTCATTAAGCAGAACATGTAGGTTGCAGATCAGTGGAGCTGGGAAAAGGAGTCCGGGGGCAGGGAGGCTCTTCTGATCTCTAGGCCTTTCCTGACCATCAACCTTTCACCCTGTTCCCAGATATGAAACTAACACACAGAAACACAGCATGTAAGAGAGGGTGTGTGTCAGGGAAAGTTCACTTCCTGGACAGCCCAAGCCCCATTAATGCTTGCAGTCACAGTGTAGTGGAAGAGACCCTGGGCTAATTACCTTGAATCAGAAAACCTGGGTTCTAACCCCAGCTACATGACTGCTCTGTGACCTTAGGCAAGTCACACCTGCTCTCTGAGCCTCGGTCCCTTCCTCTGTGAAACAGGATGAGATAGATGATTTCTGAGGAATAACTAGTAACCAGTGCCATGAGGCTTTGATTTATTCCTTGAAGTAAGGGACTCGAGGGGGTGTGTCTGCACGGGTTGGGGGTGGCAGGGCAGGAAGGGCAGTGGAACTTGGGTGTCTGTGCCTAAGCACCATCAAGTTCAGCACTCAGATAGGGCCTTTCAGCTGTCACTCAAAGAATTCCCTAGGAATGGAGGGTGGTACCTGGTTATCTAGTAACCCCCATGGCTGTGAGGAGCTAGGGGAGGTAACCCAAGCCAGAGGGGCCATTCCAGAGGCCAGCTGCAGAGAAGAAGGAGGTAAGTAACCCAAGCCAGAGGGGCCATTCCAGAGGCCATCTGCAGAGAAGAAGGAGGTAAGGCGTCCTGCCACGGGGGGAACCCCAGACCTGGTGGGAGTAGTCAGGACTGCCCCAGCGAGGTTTAGGGCCTTAAAATAGCAGAATTTCTGGGTATTCTTAGAAGCTGGGAGAATTTCTTTAAAAAGAGAAGGCACTGCCCCTGCCTGCTCCTCCTAAGAAAAGGGTGGGGGGAGAAAATGGGAGGGAAGACAGCCCCTGGGTCTTTTCCACTCCTCTTCCCATCCCCTGGGATGAGGGTTCATGAAAAGGCTTTGCTTTTCAAGGGGAAAGATACTAAAAGGATATGCACACTGATGAGATGAACGTATTTGGGTTTAAGAGGGCTCTTGAGACCAGAGCAGGATGGCGGGGAATTGGAATCAGCCAGCAGACGGAAAGTCTTGGAGACAGGGAAGGGACAGTAAACAGGGACACGGAATCCTGCGCTCCGGGAGGTTGGCTCCTTGCCAATTCAATAGCCTGTTCAGCTTTGGGCCCCCAATGCCTAGTATGGCTCCCGGCACATAGCTGGCACTGAGTATTTGTTGAACTGACCTACACTACATCTCGAGACTAGACCACAGGAGTGCCTGGATTATGAGTGGGTGGGTGCATGTGGTGGCACAGTATGAAGGGGGGGATGGAGAAGAGGTCCTGTGTGTGCTGTTTCTTCATCCACTTAGTTGTTCATTTTATAAACATTTTTTACTGTGGTAAAATGCATGTAACAGAAAATCTACCATGTTAGCCATTTTAAAGTGTATGGTTCAGTGGCATGAAGTACACTGACATTTTTGTGCGACTACCCCTACCATCCATCTCCAGAACTGTTCCATCTCATTCAATGAACATTTATTGAGAATCTAGTATGTGCCAGACCCTTCAGATTGCTCCAAATTTAGTGGGGGAGCAAGACAAGAAAGTCAGCAGCTCTGACCCAGCGTGGTAAATATCATAAAAGACAGGTGTGGGGTGCTGTGGGAGCACAGAGTCCCCAGTTGGTTTCTAGTTGAGAAGGGACTTTCTGAAGGAAGCTGTTACTGGATTTGAGTCTTGAAGGAAGACTAAGAATTAGTCAGGACCTCAGAGTGAGAGTTGAAACAGTGCCCAATGGGGTAGATGAAGCAGAGTGAGATGTCAGAGAGAAATCCCGGAAACCCTGAGGGTCACACCAGGGCAAGGATAGAGCTGAACTGCCCTAAAGGGATCCTGCTCTAGGGGAAGCCAAGGCTGACTTCTGACCTCTCTGTTCCCCATTGTCAGCCCTATGTCTTCCCCCAACCCTGAGGATATCCTCCCCCAGGAGCCTGAGCCTGAGCCCTCAAGATCCAAGAAGAAAAAGAAGAAAAGAAAGTGGCTGCATCCAGAGGCCAGCATCCAAACCCTCACCAGGGCTGGCCATGGGGCCCTACAGGCTGGCCGGAACCATGAGGCCTTGACCAGCTTCCAGAGGGCATTCCTTCTGGCCTCCAAGACCCCACAGACCAGGGACACTCCTGTGCTCCAGGCCTGTGCCTTCAACCTGGGGGCTGCCTATGTGGAGACTGGGGACCCAGCCAGAGGCCTTGAGCTGCTTCTGCGAGCCCAGCCTGAAGAGAAGGCACAGGGCAGGCATCACAGTGACCAGTGTTTCAATGTGGCTTTAGCCTACCATGCCCTTGGTGACCTGCCTCAAGCTTTGGCCTGGTACCACAGGGCCCTGGGCCACTACCAGCCACAGGGCGGCCAGGGGGAAGCCCAGGCAAAAATGGGAGCCTGCTACCAGGCTCTGGGACAGCCTGAGCTAGCAGTTCACTGCCTGCAGGAAGCAAGCCGGGCCTATGCCCAAGCAAGGCATCCCCGGGCTGCAGCCCTGGCCTTGGGGGCTGCAGCGGGGTGTATGCTGAAGAGCGGGCGGCATGGTGTAGGTGAAGTTGTGCAGGTGCTGGAGGAGAGCCGGAGGCTTGCTGAGAAGAGCACTGAGCAGGGACTGCTGGGTGAGGCCTTTGGGCAGGGAAGGTGTGGGATCTGGGAAGATACAGAGTCTGATGACACCCCAAGGGCTGGGGAAGGGGACTGGGGGAGCCTGGAGGCATGGGACAAGGGCTGTACCTGTACAGCCTTAGTTACGTCTGATCTGGCTACCAGTGACCCTGGCTATGCCCTCTAGGGCACCTCTATAATGACCTAGGCCTGGGCTACTCCCAGCTCCAGCTGTTCCCGCTGGCCGTGGAGGCCTTCCTGCAGGCCCTGCCCCTGTGCCGGGGGCCAGGAGAGCAGGCCACAGTGCTAAGAAACCTCGGGATGGCCCACAATGCCCTCGGCAACTATCAGGAAGCTCGGGAGTTCCACCAGAAGGCTGCTGACCTACATGGTGGGTGCCAGGGGCTGGGGGATGGGACTGGGACCAAGAGACTAAGGAGGGTTCCAAAGCTTAAGGGTAGATGGACCTCTAGGGCCAGTCATGGGGCCTAGAAACCCAGAACCAGGGCAGTGAGGGCTGGGAGTACAGTAGACGGGACAGCCAGACAGGATGGAGGGTTGTGGGCCCAGAGGCTAAGGCCTAGGGGTTGGAGGCAGCAGTGGGCAGGGGGAGGGTACTGGCCAGGAGAAGAGGCCTGAAGTGGAGCCCAGTCCCTCCTCTGTTTGTGTGACACTCAGCGAATCACTTTTGCTCTCTGAGCTGCAGTTTCCATGCATGTATATAAATGGGGCTATTGACACCTGCCTTGCCTTCCTCAAAGGGTTGTTGCCTGATTCAAACCAGTCAGGTGGACGCATTCAGGCCAATACTGAGGATGAGGACAGGCTATTGAGAGTTCAGACCTCTGGGGTCCATCTGGAGGTGTGCCAAGGCTGGGCACCAGGACTCCTAGGAACCCTACCTTGGTTGCTGGGGGCAGGGTCTTGATGCCCCAGCAGCCAGAGTCCCTTCTTAGGATGGGGTGGGCTCTGTCATCAGGCTCCGTGGGGCAGCGGTGGGAGCAGGGCCGGAGCTTTGGCAGCCTGGCATTTGCGTTGAGCCAGCTGGAGGACCACAAGGCTGCCAGAGACAACTACCTGCATGCCCTGCAAGCTGCCCGGGACACTGGTAAGGGTGAGGGGGTAGTGTGGTACTTGGGGGGAGGTGCCTGAAGGCTGAGGGTCTTTGGGGCTGGTGGGGAGGCAGGTGGGGGGAATTGAGGGTGGGGAGTACCTCTGCAGGGGTGGGTCAGTGGGGTAGGGAGCTGTGAGAGGACCTTTCAGGCTCTCTTCCTCAGGGGACATGAAGGGGCAGTGGCAGGCCTGTGAGGGGCTGGGGGCTGCTGCAGCCAGACTGGGGCAGTATGACCAGGCCTTGAAGTACTATAAGGAAGCACTGGCCCAGTGTCAGGTGAGACTCCCCATCCCAGAATCCACCTCTTCCCTGCTATCCCTCCACCAGGAAGCCTTCTTTGGCAGACACTCCTGCCTTCACTCCTTGTCTTCTCCCCTCCACTCATTCACTCATCAAACATGCACTGGACATACTGTGTGCTAGGCCCGGGGATACTATTGTGAGGAGGACTCAGTCTCTGTCCACAATTCTCAGCAGATGGTGGCAGGGTCCTGGGAAAAGCATAGGGATGGGATAGAAAAGAGGGGAGACAAATCCCCCTTCCCTCCTCCCTTTCCTGTTTCCTTCTTTCCCAGCCCTCAAAGGACTACAAAGTACAGGCTTCCTCATTACCCTATTATCCACCTCTCCCCAGAAGGAGCCAGATTCTGTGCGAGAACGGCTGGTGGCCAAGCTGGCAGATGCTATGAGGACCCACTTGGGCCAGGTGGGGCTGGTCCAGGCTCACACCCTGGTGAGATGACACCTGAGACAGGAGAGAGGGGTGGAGAAAGGTTACCCAGGGAAGGGGTTGGTGGTAAGCAGAGCTGCTGTGCTTGACTGCTCATCTGTGTTCATCTGCTCTGAGCCTGCCTATGGGATAGATATCACTTTCCAGGGGGCGAACAGGTGGGCGGGGGGATCATGGCACATTTCCAACACAAAGGGCTGTTTCAGGGCTTTGGCTAGGTGGTAACAGGCCCATTGGGTGAAGGCCAAAGGATGCAATAAAGAATCCTAAGCCCTGGCCGGGAGAGGTGGCTCACACCTGTAATCACAGCACTTTGGAAGGCCCAGCTGGGAGGATCGCTAAGTCCAGGAGTTTGAGAGCAGCCTGTGCAACATAGTGAGACCCTGTCTCTACAAAGAATAGTAATAAAAAAATTAGCTAGGCATGGTGGCGTGCACCTGTAGTATTAGCTACTCAGGAGGCTGAGGATGGAGGATTCCCTGACCCCAGGAGTTCGAGGTTACAGTGACCTATGATCAGCCTGCTGCACTCCAGCCTAGGTGACAGAGCGGAGACCCTGCCTAAAAAAACCGCTATGGACCAGGAGGTAGAAAATTTTAAGTCCTTCGCTGCAGTTCCCTAAATTGCCACAGGGTGGGGACAGTGCTCCAAGGAAGTCCCTCTCTCCCATTTCCAGGTCTCCGGGGGACATTTCTCTGTGAATCTCCACCGTATTCTTCGTTCCCTGGCTCTGCCTCACCCTGTCTCTACCTCCATGTCTCTCCTCTTAGTTCATTGTCTCTCCAACGGCCTCCTCCCTCACATTTTTTTTTTTTTTTGAGACAGAGTCTCACTCTGTTGCCCAGGCTAGAGTGCTGGGGCGTCAGCCTAGCTCACAGCAACCTCAAACTCCTGGGCTCAAGCAATCCTCCTGCCTCAGCCTCCCGAGTGGCTGGGACTACAGGCATGCGCCACCATGCCCGGCTAATTTTTTCTCTATATATTTTTAGTTGTCCAGCTAATTTTTTTTTTTTTTTTTTTTTAGTAGAGTTGGAGGTCTCTCTCTTGCTCAGGCTGGTCTCGAACTCCTGAGCTCAAACAATCCACCCGCCTCGGCCTCCCAGAGTGCTAGGATTACAGGCGTGAGCAACCACGCCAAGCTCTCCCTCACATTTTGAGACACCCTCAGAAAACCTCTTTCTACCCCAGGAATTGAAATTATAATACTTATTATGTGTATTTAATAGGATTCATGCCCTCTTATTTTAAAGACTAGGACACTGTATTTACAATCTGCAAGTAAAATTAAATTAGCTTGGTACAAGCAGAAGATTGGAGTGGGGGTCCCGTCCAAGGTCAGCTACCAACTCTGTGACTTGGCCCCGTGAGGCTCCAGGTTGTCAGGTTCTGGCCTAGTCTGACAGTCTCTAAGCCTGAGCTCTAACTTGAGAGTTACTAAGTGGAGACCTTAACAGAACAAAGGGCCTCGCCCCGGAATTTTATTCTCAGAGACAAGCGGCACACCTCAGGTCTCTCTGAGGCCATCGTGTCTTCCTGCAGGGAAGGGAGGGAACATACACTCCTGCACACATACACAGCTGGAACGGCCGTTTTTCTCAGATGCATTGTTTTTACCCCCCTTCATGCCCAGACCTCGGCTCCAGGAAGGCCCCAGGCTCCGGTGAGGGCCCGCCGCGCGGCGGGGACCCCAGCCAGCGTGCGAGGCAGCACCGCAGAAGCACAACGCTGGTGAGCGAGGCGGGGCGGAGCTTCGGGGTGGGCGTGGCCTCTGGAGGGTGTCCGCAGGTGGCTTGGTGGGGTGGGACTTCGCTGGTACCCGGGCAGGAGAGGGCTGGGTGCTGCTCTGCCCGCCGCGCCCGTTCCCTACCCAACAGGTCTTCCGATGGGTGGCAAGTCGAAGAGCTTGAGGCGGGCCACGAGGAGAAAAAAGAGGAGGGGTCGGCGAATGTTCTCGCGACTTCTGGGCCCGGGAGAATGCAGCGTGAGTTGATGCAGGCTGTCCCTGGCTGTGCCTCTCCTCCCCGCACGTGTGGCACTCTCCCCCTCCCCCCTTGCTTCCCTCACCGCGCATGCCTCTATTTCCCCTTCTGCCTCCCAACCCCTAAAACAGCCTTCCCCCCATTTCTGTTTGTTTTTGGAGGCCCTAACCCTTTCTAGAAGCAGGTCTTCCTGCTCTCAAGGCTTTCTTAACTTTGCATCTTAGAGCGCAAAGGTTTGTTGAAAGCCTGCTACCTGCCTAGTACCACGCTGGGTGCTTTTCTTACCCCAGCTCAGCAGTCCCCAACCTTTTTGACAACAGGTACCGGTTTCCTGGCAGACAGGTTTTCCGCAGACTGGGGTAATGAGGGGGGCGTCGCCGTCTGGGCTCTGCTTCAGATCATCAGGCATTGGATTCTCACCAGAGCACAACCTGGATCCCCGGCATGCGCAGTTTGCAGTGGGGTTCGCGCTCCTATGAGGGTCTGATGCCGCCGCCGATCTGACGTAGGGCAGGGGGCTCGCGCGGTGATGCGAGCAATGGGGAGCTGCTGTGGGTGCAGGAGGGGCTTCTGGGGCTTCACTCGCTCACCCGCCGCTTGCCTCCTGCTGTGCGGCCCGCTTCCTGGCCCCAGCTCGCTGTTCATTAGTCTCTTTCCCCAAAGGCTTGCAACTGTGGGAGGAGAGCTCCGTGCCACGTGTTGAGCTGACTTGAATTTACTGATGTCTTTTTTTCAATGTGTTTCCTTCTAGGCACACTGAATCATTCCCACCATCTAGCTTCTAGTTGGCCCATGTTTACCAAGCACCTGCCCTGTAAAGGGACAGTTCTTTACACACCCTCTGTGTACAGTGATCAGTGTATCCCAACCCCCCCCTCCCATATTCTTCTCCCAAAGCTTTCTCTTTTCCACTGTGATGATTCTTGGTACAGAAAGGTCTGTGGTGAATGTGTCTGTCTCTCTCTGTCTAGGTCCAGGACCCACGGCCCATCTTCCATTTGGAGCTCCAGGCCCTCCTCGAGTGGAGTACCCTGGCATCCTGGTACTCAATGGCTCCCAAGCCAATAGGTGGGTCCCTAGGGGAGGGAGAGAGACTTGGAGAATGGCAGAGAAAGTAGAAGATGTGGCTTGGGATGATTTTAATTGAACATGACCACTGTTATAGGAAGCTGTGATCTCGTTCTTGGGACATAGGGCCCTTAGTCTCTTTGTCTCTGCTCCTTAGGAATATGAACAACCCTCACCCAGCTTTGGAGGCCGGGGGTATCCCCTGCCTCTTGCATGGCCTGACGGTAGGCCTCAGAGAAAAGGACAGTCCTGCAAAATGGGGGGACATGAAACTTAAGCCTACTGCCTCATGCTGTGGAGCCCACCAGCAGAGGTAAGGCCTAGAGAGGGCATGGGAAAGCTGGAGCCAGGGCAGGCTGCCTCCTGCTCTTTCCCCAGTCACCCTCACTGGCAAGCCCCTCCCTGCCTCCTTCAGGTCACCCAAATGGCACAGGGAAACCCTCAGCAGGAGTCTCCAGAGGAAACCCACAGAATCTGGCTTCTGTACAGTCATGTGACCTCCCCCCTGCTGGCCATAGCCCTCACCTCTGCGGAACCTGCCCCAACACACACACTCTAAGGGGTTTCAGGGGACTGAGCCTTCTCCCAGTTGTCCAACCCTGCATGGACAGGGAACACAACATAATCAGCCAGTGGCTTCCTGAGGAGGCTGGCTGAGGGCTTTGGAGTCTCAGCTCTGAGATGTTCTGTTTGCTTCTCACTGGGATTGTTGGACTCAATAGGTATTAAAAAAAAAAAAAAAAAGAAAAGAAAGCAAAATGGATGGTGAATTTCACTGTTTTCCTGGATCCAAACCTCATGATTGCTAAAGCCCTTGCGGTTCTAAAAACTGTGACTTCTTGGTCAAGGGGCTTTGGAGTGACTGACTCTCCAGTCCTCCAGTTTCTCATATGGTATATTAAATACTACAGAAGATACATCTTACTCAATTGAGGCACCTGCTTCTTCCATGAAAGACACGGGATGCTGGGTGCAGGCTCAGGTGTACAGCCTGTAGGACAGCTGCTGCCAGCAGCCCAGCAACAATGATATCATGTAACGTTTATTGAGCACTTTGCACATGCTCCACACTATTCTAAGTGCTTCACAAATGTTTTCTCCTTTAATGCTCGTGAGTTTGTAAGGTATTATTATTAATATTATCCCCTTTCAGAAATGAGGAAAATAGAGCACAAAGCTTAAGTAGTTTGAATTCCCAGGCTATACAACTAGTATGTGGAGAAGTTGGAATTCAATCCTAGGCAGTGAGCATCTTCTAGAATGCTGTGCAGTTCCACTCTCACAGCTAAGCCATGGCTAGCCCAGAGTTAGTGAAGTGTGTTTATGCCAGTTGTATGTGTTACTGTAATTTGTAATTTAATTAAATATTATATATGTTGATGAACTAAGTTAAAACAAGTGTCATTTCTATGAAAACTAAGTTGGATCAGTAGAAGATTTGACTAACGTGAGTCACTTTTAAAAGTTGCTGTGTAGTTGGGTACCATGGCTCACGCCTGTAAGCCTAGCACTCTGGGAGGCTGAGGCGGGAGGATCGCTAAAGGTCAGGAGTTCCAGACTAGCCTGAGCTAGAGTGAGACCTGTCTCTACCAAAAATAGAAAGAAATTAGCCAGACAACTAAAAATATGGGAAAAAATTAGCTGGGTATGGTGGTACATGCCTGTAGTCCCAGCTACTCAGGAGGCTGAGGCAGGAGGATTGCTTGAGCCCAGCAGTTTGAGGTTGCTGTGAGCTAGGCTGATGCTATGGCACTCCAGCCCAGGCAACAGAGTGAGACTCTGTCTGAAAATAATAAATAAAGAAATTAAAAGCTGCTGTGTACTATGTTGAATAGAAGTGGTGAAAAGGGGGTAAAAGCTCCTGTGGAATTATATGTGAGCAAGATTATTACAAATTCGGAGAAAGTCATAAAAATCTAAATAAATTCTGCATACAGGTTGCCAAACATGGCATTAGCTGTTTCACCTTAAGGAAGCAAACTGGAAATTGCAGGTGATACATAACTGGTGAGGTTTATGTAAGAAAGATGGAAAACTCCAGTATTTGGCCCCATCCTCAAAGAAAAGACCCTGGCCCCACTTTGACAGATGGAAAATGAATGTATTTTTTGAAGTTGAAAATAAAATAATCTACTCCTGATAATGTCAGATAAGAGAATATAGGGAAGGCAGAACTTTACCCTCTTAGGATCTCTGGCTGGACTTGAGAATTAAGTTGATGTAAAACAGATTAACAGGAGAAAAGTATACAGATTTGCTTAATATACAGAGGAGTCCTCATAAGGAAATGAAGAGCCAAAGAAGTGGTAAAACCTAAATGTTATACTAGGTTCAACAAACAGAGGCAACTGTGGAAAAGCAACTAAAAAATGGGGAGGCTGTAGGAAGATAAGAGTTATTTTAATAAGGTCTGTTTGTACAGAATTCTCTCAGCCTCGACCCCGTCTCTGGTGAAAAGAATGCTTCATTTCTCCTGGTATAAGGAGGGCATCTTTCATGTGGGTGTTTTATTTCCTGCTTTCAGGAAGAAAAGGGGAGGTTACAGTGCCCTTGCACCTATTGTTTTTCAAGTGCCTTTTGCTAAAAGGCATCCTTATGCCAAAGTGGCATATTTTGAGGTGGCATATTCTGCCACTCTTCAAGGGTTTCTACTATACTGTCAACTAGGAGATTTTTGAGGATTCATTGAAATATTTGTAGAGGACCCACACTATATGCTAGGCATGGCAAATACTAGGGACACAGCTGTTAATCTTCCTTATCTAAATGGAGCTTATTATCTTGTCAGGTGTTCAAGATGTCTTGATTAGGTAGGACATGGGTGCAGCAGCCATAACAAAAGCCCATGTAACAGTGCTTTCAAACAAAACTTTCATTCTCATTTAAGTAGCCCAGGGCTGATAGGATGGCTCCTTGGAGCTTGGCAACCCAGACAGGATGCTCTGCCATTCTTAACACGAGATTTCTGTCTCATGGTCTTAAATGGTTGCTTCAGCTCTAGCATGATACCTTCATTCCAGCCAGTAAGAAGAAAAGAGGAAGTGGGAAAAAAACGTTTTTTTGTTTGTTTTCCCAAGGGTATGACCTGGGAATTGCATATATCATTTCAGCTTTGGTCATAATTTAGTTACATGGCCATGCCTAGCTGCTGCAAGAGAGGCTGGAAAATGTAGTGTTTAGCTGGGCAGCCATGTGGCCAGATAAAACCCAGGTGACCTGTTGTCAAAGGAAGAAAATAGAATGGATTTTGAGGGACAAGTAGCAGTGACTGCCACACAATAGTATTGCTACTGGATCAGGCCAACCCAGTATCAACTGTCACTGGCTCTACCATTTAATAGCTATAATATCTTAGGAAAATTACTTGTCTCTGCTACTCAATTGTATCATCTATAACAGGATAAAAATACATCATTGGATTGACAGGATTAAATTTGATAATATATGTAAAGCATCTGGAACATAGCAGGTGCTCAATCCATGTGTCCTACCTGAATTGGTTTTGAAAGCATTTCCCAAAGAAAACTCTAAAAGTCTGAATGGCAAGAACAAGATGGACTAGATCTTGGGCACTGCCTTTCTGGTCTGTTTTATATTCCCCATTTGGTTGTTTTATAAATTCTGGGTGTGTGTAGTGGGATATCTTTGTGTCATTATTTTATAGTTACATCTCATCAGAATGAAGTCAGTGGTGACAACCCTTTATATACATCATATTTCTGCATTTGGTAAGGCAGTTCAGGATAGAGTAATGCTTGACTGCAGACTCTAAGTCAGGCTGCTTGGATCTCAGCTCCACTGACAGCTATCACTGTATCATTGGGCATGTCATTTAATGTCTTTAAGCCTCAGGTTTTTCATTTGTAAAATCAGAATAATAACAGGGTTGCTGTGAAAATGAAATGATTCATGCTAGCACCTGGCACATATAGTGTTCAAAAATATTATCTACGTCAAAGAAACATGTTGTGTTTTAGAAATGAAATTTCAAAATCACCAAATTTATTTCCTCAAACAGACCTGTAGGGAGTCTTGGATAATATGTAAAAGTGAAGCCACTTATATACTGAAGTTAGAAAATAAAGTTAGTGAGGTTTGGGGTAAGATTATCCTATTGTAATGTACACACCAGTATATATAGGTGTGTACACTACAATTTAGATGAGTAAACTCAATTTTCCACCACAAAGTCTTGACAAATTCAATTTCCCACAACAAACATGTAAACAAGTATAGCTGGAGGCCAAAGGTACATCCCACCCTCCCACAGGAGATAATAAATCTATTATTATTAAAAAGGAGAATACCAGAAGAGTAGTTGAAAGCAGGAGGGGTTCTTGCCATTCTTGGTGAACTAGCCAGGAATTCATTTCATGGTATAGAATAAGAATTTATCTGGCATAAAAAGAGGACCTTCACATCACCTTTGTCTTGGCTTAGGCTGTGGTAATGAAATACCATAACTGGGTGCTTAAACAACAGAAATGTATTTTCTTACAGTTCTGGGGACTGGAATTCTGATATCAGAGTACCAGCAAGGTGGGAGCTGGGGGTGGGGAAGGGAGAGCTCTTATACTGGCACTAATTCGACCAGACCAGGGCCTAGCTCTTAAGACCTCAACTAATCCTAATCACCTCCCAAAGTCTTCATCTTCAAATACCACCACATTTGAGGTTAGGGCTTCAACATATGAATTTGGGAGGGGACACAAGCATTCAGTCCATAACAATCTGGATAATTATCTTTATCTTAGCACCTTAAAGGTAACTGGTTTGTTATTTATTCCCCAGTGTTTTCCATGCAACAGAGTGTGTTCACATTCTCAGAAGTACTTGAGTAAAATGTATTCTTCCTCTCAAGATTTCTAGTGAAACATTATTGTGACCTGGAGCCTATGGTTTCAACTAATTATTATTATTTTTTAAGAGACTGGTCTTGGTCTGTCGCCCAGGCTGGAGTGCACTGGTGAGATCATAGCTCACTGTAACCTCAAACTCCTGGACTAAAGGAATCTTCCCACCTCAGTCTCCCAAGTAGCTGGGACTACAGGGAAAGGACAACATGCTACACTCGTTCTTTTTGCTTTTGTGTTTTGTTTTGTAGAGACATGGTTTTGCTATGTTGACAAGGCTTCAATTACATTTTTTTTTTTTTTTTTGAGACAGAGTCTCGCTTTGTTGCCCAGCCTAGAGTGAGTGCCGTGGCGTCAGCCTAGCTCACAGCAACCTCAAACTACTGGGCTCAAGGGATCCTCCTGCCTCAGCCTCCCAAGTAGCTGGGACTACAGGCATGTGCCACCATGCCCGGCTAATTTTTTTTTTTGTATATATTAGTTGGCCAATTAATTTCTTTCTATTTATAGTAGAGACGGGGTCTCGCTCTTGCTCAGGCTGGTTTCGAACTCCTGACCTCGAGCAATCCGCCCGCCTCGGCCTCCCAGAGAGCTAGGATTACAGGCGTGAGCCACCGCGCCCGGCCTTCAATTACATTTTTAACCGTAGCTTACTCAACATATTTAAGGTTCACAATTTTCTATTTCTGCAGCTATTATCTTGATAAAGGAGGTAAATATGATTAGGGAAGTACAGCATGATAGATACCCTGGTAAAAAACAGAGGTAGGGAAGCTAATCTAGTGGAGAGTAGGGTGCTAAGTTATATGAAACGCTCAGTAGTGTAAATTAAGAACATTAGCTTAATTTATGCACCAGGTGCCACGCCCTCTGCAACGGTTTTGTAAGTCATCTTACGAAGTATGTACCCAGTATCCCTGTTGTATATCTGAGAAACTGACACCAGCAGTGTCCACGTTCACTCAGCTAATTAGTGGTGGGGAAGACATCCAGGCTAAGTGCTGTGCCATACGGCTGTCTGAAAGAGCTACAAAACCGTGAATTATTATCAAAGGGCGGGTGGGGGCAAAGCACTTCGGGACATTTGGAAATGTGTGGCATCTCTAAATGCTCTCGAGAATGGCCAGGATCCAGGCTGTAAGGGAAGGTGCACGGGAGGTCTATCGCAGGTAGCATGGTCCTCAGCCTACTTTTGTGCTGCAAAACGCCCAGTAGCGGCTAGAGCTTGGCGCCCGCCGGCGCCTCTGGGCCACTTCCGGAACGCGCGTGCCGGCTCGGCCTCTCCGGGGGCGGGGCGAGCGCCGCGCATGCGCCGGGGCCGGGCGGGCCGGGGGCGCGCGTTCTACGAGCTGGATGTCCGGGCTCAGGGCACTGCTGGGGCTGGGACTGCTAGTTGCCGGCTCTCGTCTGCCGCGAATTGGCAGCAAGGCGGGCGCCTGCCGCTTAGGACGCACCTGGTGGGGACCGCAGCGACTGAACTCGGGTGGCCGCTGCTACTCAGAGGTCATGGCGAGCACAGCGGTGAAGTACCTGAGGTAGGCGAAGCTGCGGACCGGCACGCGGGGCGCAGGTCTCGGGTGGCCTGCTCTCCCTCCCGGGGGCGGGACCCGAGACAGCGCACTGCCTGCGCTACGGAGCACCTGAGTGGCGGGGACTCAGGCTTAAGGGTTTCCCTCAGCCAGGAGGAGGCCCAGGCCGTGGACGAGGAGCTATTTAACGAGTACGAGTTCAGCGTGGACCAACTTATGGAGCTGGCCGGGCTGAGCTGTGCCACAGCCGTTGCCAAGGTCAGTGGCACAACTCTTGGCCTTTGGGAGGAGCGAGGGAGGAGTCACTGCTCAAGTCCCCAGGTCTAGGCACAGAGGGGTGGGAGAGACTGCTGGGCCAACCCTGTCTGTTACTGTTTGTCTGAAACCCCTATGAATTCCCCTGACTCCACCTCCAGGCATATCCCCCCACGTCCATGTCCAGGAGCCCTCCTACTGTCCTGGTCATCTGTGGCCCAGGGAATAACGGAGGAGATGGCTTGGTCTGCGCGCGACACCTCAAACTCTTTGTGAGTATGTGGAGGAGAGGCCTTGGGGGAAAGCATGAGGATTCTGGGATCTGGGGTTGAATTACCACTTTCCTCCTAGGGCTACCAGCCAACCATCTACTACCCCAAAAGGCCTAACAAGCCACTCTTCACTGCATTAGTGACCCAGTGTCAGAAAATGGACATCCCTTTCCTTGATGAAATGCCTCCAGAGGTAGGTGGTTCCATTTGAATACCTCATCTCCCCAGTAACCTCTGCCTGTGCTTTGCTCTTCCTTCATGTTTCCAGGCTGAGCTTATTGTAATGCCTGGTACAGAAGATGCCTAAAGGATGCTATTTGAATAGAAGGCGTGTGAGAGCCTTCTCTGTCATAAGGTGGGCTCCATGAATCCCCAACATCACCTTCTCTAAGGCTTCTTTCCTCTGTAGTCAGATCCTTCTCCCCTAACATGCAGTAAACACATGATCTGGCCCTCCCTCTCGGGTTGGAGTGACCGCCACATCCTAAACCCTTTCTGCACATGCATGGATTTAGGAGTGAGAAATTTGAGAATTTTTAAAAAACTTTGTTAACCCATTCTACAGATGAAGATACTGAAGTCCAAAGCAGCAGTCTGCCCTAAGTCACAGAATTGCATTATGGCAGAGCCAAGACCAGAATCTGGCCCTCCTGACTCCCAGTCTCAGGCTATCCCACACTATAGTCTTCCCAATGGCAGGCAGACACTAAGAACAGAAAATGTGTCTGGGCCAGGCGCAGAGGCTCGTGCCTGTAATCCTAGCACTTTGGGAGGCCAAGGCAGGCGGATCTTTTTAGCTCAGGAGTTTAAGACCAACCTGAGCAAGAGCGAGACCCTGTCTCTCCTAAAAAAGTAGACAGAAATTAGCTGGACAACTAAAAAATATATACATATATGTTAAAAAAATTAGCTGGGCATGGTGGCACATGCTTGTAGTCCCAGCTACTCAGGAGGCTGAGACAGGAGGATCGCTTGAGCCCAGGAGTTTGAGATTCCTGTGAGCTAAGCTGATGCCATGGCACTCTGGCCCAGGCAAAAGAGACTCTGTCTCAAAAAAAAAAAAAGAAAGAAAGAAAGAAAGAAAATGTGTCTGGACTCAGCTTGGCCTGAATCAGTGACCAACCCACACTTTCTCAAGGCCTCAGGATGCCCTCTGGATGAGATATATTTGTGCCTCTGTAAATGGTCTTTGGGTGCAGAGAACAGCCCTCCCCAGTTGAGGCTCTTTGTACACCTGCTGGCTCACACATCTTTTCCTTTTTCTGCACCACCACAGCCCATGATTGACGAGTTGTATGATCTGGTGGTGGATGCCATCTTCGGCTTCAGCTTCAAAGGCGATGTTCGGGAGCCATTCCACAGCATCCTGAGTGTCATGAAGGGACTCACTGTGCCCATTGCCAGCATTGACATCCCCTCAGGTGCTGGGACCCAGAAAGTTGGGGATAATTGGGGCCCTATCCTGTGTCTGGAGGCTGTTACCTAGGAGTCCTGATGAGCCACAGCTTAGACTGTGTCTAAAATAATTTGAATCTAGAAGGACATACAGCTTTCTGGATCCCATATCAGGGCTGGGGAGAAGAGTTCAGGAGCCCCATTTACATGCTGGCCCCATGAAAAGACCAAAGCCCAAGGGTATATAGAGGTCATAGGATGAGAGTTCCTCAGGTGAGGACTGAGAGGGCCTCCCACTCCTTTAGGACTAAGGTAAAGCAAGGTGTGGATGGGGACTAGACATCTTTCCTTTTGTTCTTCCTGAACACCACCCTCTTTTCAGGATGGGATGTGGAGAAGGGAAACTCTGGAGGGATCCAGCCGGACTTGCTCATCTCCCTGACGGCACCCAAAAAGTCTGCAACCCAGTTTACTGGTCGCTACCATTACTTGGGTGGCCGTTTTGTGCCACCTGCTCTGGAAAAGAAGTACCAGCTGAACCTGCCACTCTACCCTGACACTGAGTGTGTCTATCGTCTGCAGTGAGGGAAGGTGGGTGGACATTTCTTCCCAAAAAAGACTTAGTGCCATTCTCTCCAGGAACTGTGGAGTCCTGGGAGCTCTTCTTTCTGGTAATAAAGTTTAGTGGGTGGCATGAGCCAGAGAGCAACACTGGTGATGTGGTGCCATCTCTCTAGGGAAACAGAACAGGCAAGAAGGGTTGCTTTGGCATTTGGAAGCAATGAAAATTGACGGTTGGATGCTCAATGAGGTGTGCTGTCCTTTACACACAAGTGATTCTTACCCATTTGGGACACAGATAGGGACCTGGATGATGTCTCTAAGCTACTTCCACTTCTCAGTGTAGGAAGACTACAAGGAGGTTAGCAGAAGGAATTTCTTCAAAGGCCAAGGAAAATCTACTTTCTCAGGCTGGGAATGGAGATTCCAGTTGGTATTTATCTATAGGCTACGAGCCCAACTTAATGTTTATTCATTCATTTGGTCATGCTAGAAACTGGCAGCCTGTGGACTGACTCTAGCACATAGGCTTACATTTGTTGTTTTTCTTAGCCTTTACAATATTTAAAAATCAGATTTCACATAAGTCTACATTTTCAGCTTCTTTTAACAGAGATGCCCCTTCAAAGAGTATCTGTGTTCCTGTTCCCCCAGCCCCCAGCATTTCTTGTCCCTTAGCCATCTGGCTCTAGAAGCTACAGAGGAGACTGTGCCCACTCCAATTAAGGCATGGTGCCAACACTCTCTCCTCTCAGCAGACTGATGTTCCAGAGCTCAGTTTCCTCCTTAGGAGGGACTCCATATTTAGGGGAGCACAGAAGACCTTGCATCAACCCAAGTCTCTGAGGCTTTGACTCCTGAAGGTGAATCAAGTGAGCCCCACCTTTACCAGACAGATCTTCAGTCTCCCTTCTTCTGTTTCTTCTTTTTGGTTCTCTGGTCAGTGCCAACTCCAGCTTTCTTCCTCTGACTGCCGTTTCCTCCTCTTCTTACCTCTGCTGCTTGAGCCAGTGTGTGCACTGCTCTCTGCTTTCCTAGTCCTGCCATCCCCCTCATCTCTTTCATCCCCTACATTGACGACTTCCTCCTCCTCTCGATGTCGCCGTGTTTTCTTCTTGCTTCTCCTTCCTCCATCACTGCATGCTCTGTTCTCTGTGTCCCTGGTCCCACTGTCCAAAACAGTTTCCCCAACTTCTTCATCCTCTAAGTTCAAATCCTTCTCACAGTGCCGTTTCTTCTTGCTTCTGCTGCACGGGTCAGTGTACACTGTGCTCTCTACCGCCTCGGTCCTGACAGCACCTGTAGCCTTACCTCTTCCTCCTTCATCCAAGACTCCCGTCTTCTCCTCTCCATGGTGCTGCTTCTTCTTTCTCTTCCTTTTCCTGGGGGACTGATCGGTTTGCTCTCTGCTCTTCAATTCCCTAAGCTCACTTGTTCCTGTAGCTTCCTCCTCCTCATTCCCTACAGTTGTTCCCTCTCTCTTATCTGAGACCATTTGTTCTTGATGTTGCCTTTTCTTCTTCTTGCTTTTCCTGGTGCTCTGGTCAGTGTGTTCTGGGTGCTTCTCATCTGCATTCCTTTCAGATGCTGTAGCCTCTTCCTCCTCTTTATGTTTCCTTTTCTTTTTCTTCTTTTTGGGGGGCTTGCTCTCTGACTGTGGTTGAGAAGCCTGAGAGTCTTGGCCTTTGAGATGAGCCAGGAAGGCCTGCTCCTGGGCCTCCAGCCGAGCAAGCTTGGCCTTCATCGTAATCCCAAGACGGGCAGCCCTGAAATATATGGGGTCCAAGTCAGAGCAAGGGTATCAGGGGAAACGGGCTTAATCCTTAGTCCTGCAGGGAACACTGGGGGTGGGGCACAGCAGGGAGCTTCCTATCTTCAGGCAGTACGTGGGTATATATAGGAGTCATTTCCCTGGCGTGAATAGGTTCAAGAGGTGGCACAGGCCATCCTCCAGGGTGGGCAGAAAAAAGGGAGCCCAGGGAGTTGATCACTACTTACTTGTGTGCTGTTCGCCCCTCACAGGCTTGGAGCAGCATCTCATCCGTCAGACTGTTACGGGGAGATCAGGAGTTACAAACAAACCTGATGGAAAGGCTTGACCTCTCCTCCCTCTAAAACAGCCCTTCAACACTCGAGTTCTTGTTCAGGACCTGGCACTTTTTGAGGTGTGAGGGATTAGTAAAACTCTGTTCTACCCTCATAAGAAGCCCACAGTCAAGCATTAGACTTAGTCCTTTCTCTTGAGATCTGAGGGCATCTCCTCCCACATCCTCCCAGCACTAAAATGAAGTCTCACATCTTTGGGGGGTTGGGCCTCTGGTTGTCATCGTCACTGCAGCTCTCCATGTCTTTGTCTGGCTTCTCTCCATCTGAAGTCAGGGTAGCCGTCTAGAAGGAGGGATCATGGGGGTGGACAGGACCCACTCAACACCACTGCCATCCCCATTCCTTTGTGGAAGCCCCTAAGGATTCATAGCCCTAGGCAGGGTTTCCCCATCCCCAACACTGTTCCTTGCAAAGCCACAGAGAGGTGCACCATCGTGCATACTTCAACTTGGGCAAGAGGTGAGCTATAGCTGCTGGGCGGTGGAGCAGCTTTAGCCTCTAGCTCACTCCTGGCTTGTGGGCAGAACAAGAAGGAAGTGCTCTGGGTCATCAGATCTTCACAGTGGGACAAGTGCCAGTAACTGACAATAAAGATGCCTCTCTACACTCCCATCACAATACCTATTCACAGTACCTTCATTTAACCAGATTAAATAAGAGTCTACTATGGGCCGAGGAGTGGGTACAGAATAGAATAAGAATGAAATGCATCCAGCTCAAATGGAATCTACAGAGTAGTGGGTAAGGCAGAACATAGGCAATTATGATGGAAGTGTTGCCTGTGCTAGAGGAGGAGTACCCAACTCAGGATTCAGAGTTTAGGGAATGGTTTCTAGAAGTAACTGAAGTGTAAGCTGAGCTCTGGAAGACAAAAAGTCAGCAGGTATAAGGGAAAAGGGAGAAGAATGTTCTAGGCAGAGGGGATAGCATGTGCAAATATCTCAAGGTAGAAAAACATGGTACCTTTAAAGAAAAGAAACAGATTCCATTTGGCTAAAGTGTAAGAGTCCTGGAGCGGTGGCAAGGGATGATGGGGAAGAAGGCGAGGACAAGACATGAAGGGCCATGTAAACCAGTCTGATAAATCTGGACTGTGTCATCCTAGGTCAAAGGGGAGCCAGTGACATGATGAAGTTTGTATACTAGAGAGAACACTCTGGATGCTTTGTGGAGGATGGACTGATTGGAGTAGAGATGAGGAGGCTGTAAAAGAAATTAGGCAGGAGATGATGGCCTGAAGTGGGGTAGGAGATGACAACAGAAATGTAGAGAAATGGGAAACATGTAAAGCACATGACAACCATTAAATGTTAGCTTCCTTCTGTTGGTATAGCTGAGAGCGGGAGTCTGAAGACCTGGGTCCTAGTCCTGTCTGCCATGGCTAGCCAGCTGTGGGCTCTTCAGCAAGCTACTTTTCACCCTTTTGGCCACATCAGCAAAGTTAGGATGATGGACCAAGTAATCCTTCAGGTCTCCTCTGGCTTCTAACTCCTTTGAATTAGATGCCTCCCCCACCCCTAGTCTAGCAGCTCCTGACTTGAGGGACTGCACCCTACCTGCCACTCCCTATTGCTGCTGCCTCAACAGATGCCAGGATCCATGAAACCAAAAGATTTCAATTCTTGCTAAAGGTCTGGGCAGTCTAAGTAACCAACATGGCTGGTCACAGGATCTACTGTTAGATAGTCCTGAGAATTGATAAGGCATAAGGCAATTGTTCAGGTCCCAAGTGAGATCAGAGAAGGAAGAAAAAATGGACTCTCTCACCCCCAGCCTCTAATACCTTCACAAACTTCTGATACAGCAAGTTGGGCTTGGGAGGATTACGACAGGTGGTCTCCGTAGAAAGGCGCCTTATCTGTACTCCATCCTGTAGGGAATTATCAGTGAGTGGGTGACATACCTTGTCTTCCTACTCTAACATGTCCCAGTCCCCATCTATCAGAGCTCATACCTGTCCAGTCTCCACTACCAAGTTGGCTGCAGTCTTGTTGAAGAGCTCATTCCACCAGTGGTTTGTGAACTCCTTGGCAGGGTCGTGTCCCACCTGCCAGGGGAATAAGTAAGAGCTCCAAGTACTTGCCCTCAAGGATCCCCACCTCCCATCCACACTGACCTCCCTCTGCGTACCCAGTCTTACCCCATGAGTGTCTTGCTTCAGTGTCACCCTGAGGGCCTGGGTGATGCCATTCTCCTTCCGGCCCAGGCCTTTGCCTGCAGAGCACAGTGAGTGACTTGGCTTATTCTGTTGCCTACCCTGAGCCCTCACAAGGTACCCTCCACTCATGCCACTCCTTGCCACTCCACACAGCTGGCACTGGGGCATACTCTGTCCCTTTCTGAAGCCCTCCCAGCTGTTTCTTTCTAGTACCACTCCATGTAGTCCCCCTGCCTTTGTCTGAGCCTGAACTATCTCTTCCTTCGTAACTCTTTTGGAACAGAGGCCATTTCTCTTCTTCCCTCCCCCAGTCCTCCAACCCAATTCTTCCTCATTATCCATGGTCAGATTTCTTCCATTCTTCCGTTTTTCTGGGAAAGTCAAAAAATTTCTTCTGCAAATTTAAACTATCTTTTCCTCCAATTAAATGGACAGCACGGGGGTAACCCAGGATGATGCCTCTCTCCTGGGTAAAGCATAGGCAGGGAGTGGGGAGTGTGGAAGAGGCCCCAGGGGGATCACCTTGAGTCCATCCATGCTTTAGCAGTTGCTCCTCAGCAAACTTCATCCCATGACTCTTGACCTCTGGGGTGACACTCATGGTGAGAAAAAAGTGTCCTCAAACTCTCACTAGGGAAGAAGAGGTGATATCATCCTCTTAAGAACAAAGAAGAAAGTGCCCAAAGCAACCATCAACTCCATCCTCACTACTTAAGAATTCTCTTTCCTGAGCCCTGGAGAGAGACAGAGAAAGGAGGAAGCCTGGTCTTTGGGGAGCTCCCTATCTGGCCGCAGAGAGACCAAGATCAACATATCAAGAAGTCAAGGAGGACTGGTGTTAACACAGATGCCTAAATTTATGCAGCATATTACATGCCGGGCTGTGCTAAAGCTTTACGCGGATTATTTTATTTAATCTTCCCAGCCTGTTCAGGAAAATTGTAATACCTATTTTTCAAATGAGGAAACTTAAGGCATAAAGAGGTCAGGTGACTTCCTCAAGGTCACACAGCTGTGTGTAGAACTCAAACCCAGGCAACTTGTCTGCAGAGTCCATACTCCCACTACACACCATCTCCCAAAATATATTACCATGTAAAAACAAAACTATGAGGTGCTTTTAAACCTGAGTTACAAGATAATGATACTTAATAGAGCCCCTATCCTGTACCTGTGCCTCACCATTCACTGTCTTCTTGGTGTTGGGGCTACACATTGCTGCTGTATTTCAGTCATGTCAATGCTCCCCTTCTGAAACTGTCCAGCTTAGGAAGGGCACTCTTATTGAGTATTTAATGCATAACTGGTAGAATACACATATTTTCTTATTGTTTAATCTTGACAACCCTGTAATCTAGGTATTATCCTTATTTTACAAATGAGGAAAACAAGGCCTGGGTTTTTTGCCTGAGGTTACCCAGCCAGTAAGAGAGAGAACTGGAATATGAGCCCAAGTCGCCTCACTCCAAAGTGGTCCTCTTTCTGTGACATCACCAACTAGTTGCGTTTCTTTACAGTAACTCACTTCTTTCTCCTTTTGGAAACAGATTGGCACGATCCAGTTTATATACTAAATTTGCTAACACTTGTAGCACATCTACTCAATGCCAGCGGTTGCTAATTGCTTCACACGGATTATCTCATTTAATCCTGCCAACAACCCTACTGGGAAGTGTTATTCGTAATTTACAAAGGAGGAAACAGGCACTGAGAGGTTTAGTTACTTGCTCAAATCAAAATAGCTTGCAAATTCAGGATTGGTATTCAGGAGTTCCAGAACTAGCGTCCTTAATCACTACACTCTTCAGTCTCATATCTCTTTGTGCTTTCTGCTATAAGACCACAGCCTATCCCTGTCACAGTAATTCAAAACTACACGTCCTGGAAGTCAGAGACGGGCCTTATTCCCTAAGGCCATACCACTTAAAGCAGCGCCAGAAATCTACAACGCGTGTAGTCGTTATAAATTCTACCTGAACAATACAGGTGGGAATCGCTTTAACGGACTTTCAATTGGACAAAACCTCTGTGCCAGTCTTTGTGAAGCCTGCGGACACACTTTCGGGCACTGTCTCCTCTCAGGTCAATCTGCGTTTTCAGGAGAAGTGGCCCAGGGACACTAGTCTTACAGCGGTTCTAAAGAGCCAGCTGCCCTTTCCCTAGGCCTCCTTCCTCTTCAGGTCTAAACTCCAGTCCTCCTCCTGCAGTGCCACTTGGGTAAAAATAGTCCTCTGCTTTCCCAGAGGGAAAGCCACTGATCCTGGGCTCCCACTGCCACCATCCGGGGGAAGGGAGACCTTACCGTCATTGCGGGGTCCTCTCCGTTGAAACATGTGCCATACCTGATGTGCGCGCCGCCATCTTCCCGGAAATGCCGCTTCGGTCCTTCTAGGCCATCGAAACCATAGAGATGCCCCCGGAAACCAAAATCACAGTCCTCCCAGGAGAAATGATTGTGGGAGCCAACTTGCCAGTATGGTTACCCTGGAAACTGGGCCCTGGAGCGTGCCCACTTCCGGAGGTTCCGAGACAGTTCCACTTGCTTTCTCCCTGCGATCCTTGCTTGAGCAGTCAAGGGACTTCAGTCCTAACTGACCCTCTCAGGATGCCAAGAACAGCTTTGGGTCCTACACTGAGCTAGTCCTGGGCATAAATATGAAAAAGGAAAACTCTAGCGAAGCCGAGAGTGGCCTGAGGGTTTCGTGGAGGCAGGGAAGGGGAGGATACCTGTGCCATGATTTTTCCAGGATGAATACTCAACCTTTGGCCGGGCGCGATGGCTCACGCCTGTAATCCTAGCACTGTGGGAGGCCGAGGAGGGAGGGATTGCTCGAGGTCAGGAGTTCAAAACCAACGTGAGCAAGAGCGAGACCCTGTCTCTACTATAAATAGAAAGAAATTAATTGGCCAACTAATATATATAGAAAAAATTAGCCGGGCATGGTGGCGTATGCCTGTAGTCCCAGCTACTAGGGGGGCTGAGGCAGAAGGATTGCTTGAGCCCAGGAGTTTGAGGTTGCTGTGAGCAAGGCTGAAGCCACGGCACTCACTCTAGCGGGGGCAACAAAGTGAGACTCTGTCTCAAAAAATAAAAACAAAAAATACTCAGCCTTCGGGAACAGTTATTTATAAAAGCATAGAAACTAGAGATTTCAGTAAGTTCATCAAATGCTTTTTGACCCCCGGCTGTGTGCCAGGATCTGTCCCTTTGGTACTGGGGGATACAAGGATGCATAAGACACGAGCCCTGATTTCAGGAAGCATCCAGTCTAGCCTGGAAAAGTCAGAAATCTTGAGTGGGACTGGAGGAAGTGGGGGGTGGGACATGGAGAGAGATGCAGGATCCCAGGATGCATGCTAGGCTGGGAAGTTTGGACTTGACTTGTGAGTATGAGGATCTATTGAACAGGGGAGGGAAGGAAGATAATACAGTCAGCAAAGGTGGGGGGTGCACATGCCCCTCCCCACACAAGTTGTTCCTAGGTTTCACTGAGCCACCCAAGAACTAAAAACTGAAAAAAGTACCCCTCCTCCTGCTTCCCCATATCAGTATTTCTGTTCACTTAGCGCCCCCTAGAAAGTTCCAAACAGAAAAATCGCCATTTCACATTAAGGCCTTATCACAAGTGCTCTCTGTATGTCATATCCGTTCATCCCCATAAAATTTTTTCCATACAATTAATTTTGCTTTTAAAATATGCTACATGGGCCCTTTTTGCCCTTCCTTTTGCTCTCCCTTTGCTGCAACAATGGGTGCAGTCGTCATCTGTGGCGTTTGTATCATGCTCTGTAAACCTGTATCTTGCTCTTGCTCTGTAATCCTAACTTTCTCTCCTCAATAAACCTCATTTTCGTGCTTGCTTTAAATAAATAAATAAATAAAATATGCTACATAGGGACAATACTTAAAACGATGGATGTTGGTTACTAGTTACTGGGATTTTAGACGCTTGCAGAAGGGATGTGGAATGCTTCGTAGGCATTCCTCAGAAGCTGGATCTAACAGAGAAACATTCTGTGAATGAGGGTCAGATCTGAGTCATTCTCCCACTCTGCCACTCTTGTAGGACCTTGAACAACTCACTTCTCATGATCAAAAGAGATCATCAGATAAATGCAAATGGAAACCACAGTGAGATACTGCTTCACGCGCACTAGAATAACTATAGTAAAAAAAAATGGACAATAACAAGTGTTGATGAGGATATGGAAATGTTAGAACCCTTATAAATTGCTGGTGGGAATATAAAGTGGTGACACTGCTTTGGAAAACAGTTTGGCAGTTCCTCAAAAAGTTAAATGTAGAGGCCGGGCGCGGTGGCTCACACCTGTAATCCTAGCACTCTGGGAGGCCGAGGTGGGCAGATAGCTCGAGGTCAGGAGTTTGAAACCAGCCTGAGCAAGAGCAAGACCCCGTCTCTACTATAAATAGAAAGAAATTAATTGGCCAACTAATATATAAAAAAAATTAGCCAGGCATGGTGGCTTATGCCTGTAGTCCCAGCTACTTGGAAGGCTGAGGCAGAAGGATTGCTTGAGCCCAGGAGTTTGAGGCTGCTGTGAGCTAGGCTGATGCCACGGCACTCACTCTAGCCTGGGCAACATAGTGAGACTCTGTCTCAAAAAAAAAAAAAAAGTTAAATGTAGAATTACTATATAGCCCAGCAATCTCCCGCCTAGATATATACCCTAGAAAATGAAAACATATGTCTACACAAAAACTTCTACATGAATGTTCATAAAAGCATTATTCATAATAGCTAAAGAGTATAAACAATCCAATGTTCATCAACTGGTAAATGGATAAATAAAATGTTGTAGATCCACACAATGGGAATATCATTTGGCTACCGAAAAGAGTGAAATACTGATACATGCCACACAACATGAATGAATTTTGAAAGAATTATGTTGAAAGAATGTCAGACATAAAAGGCCATGTACTGTATGATTCCATTTATATGCAATGTCTATGGAAATCCATTGGCATAGAAAGTAGTCTATTGGTTGCCAGAGGCTGTGGGGAGAGGAAAACAGAGAGTGACTGCTAATGGGTACGGAATTCCTTTTAGAAGTGATAAAATGTTCTGGAAGTGATGATGGTTGCACAATCTTGTGAATATACTAAAACCCAATAAACTGTACACTTTAAAAGGGTGGATTTTATAGAATGAATTATATCTCAAAAAAATTCACAGGCACACAACAATAACAGGGTAAGAAAATCAACATGTTATAAAGTCATTCCTTGGTGAAGGGATTACAGGTAAGTGTTTCCTCTTCTTTATGCTGATAGAGTCTTTGCTTGGCCAGACTTTAGTTAGGCTCCTCAGCCTTCTCCTTTTCCTCATCTGTGCACTTCGGCTTAAAATCCAGTTTTAGCAAAGAACCCTGCTAAATCACTTTGGCAAGAACTCCCCACCCTTCATATTTGATCACCCTTGATATCTGATTAGGTTCCTCATCTTTCACTGTCCCCCAGGTGATGTCTGACCGCTCTAGCCTGCCCTCAGCAAGAATCCTGTTAGGTCAGATTAACCCAAATCTCCCTTACCTCTGATGTTTCCTCTTAGTGATTTTCTATCCACTTACCCCTACTGTGGTCCTTGGTTACAAATTCCCACAAGCCCATGCTGTCCTGGATGTTGAGCCCAATCTGTCTCCCCCACTGCAAAATCCCATTGCCATGGTCCTATACCTATCACAATGGTCCTTAATAGTCTGCTTACCATGCTTTGACAAGTGTCACTGAATAATTTTTCCTTTAACGGGATCTTTTCCCTGCATTTAAAGTTTTCTACAATTAACATATCATTTTATCAGGAAAATAATGTTTAAATAGCAAATGAATACAAATTAGATTCCCTCAGTGCTGAAGGATGTGGGGGAGAGGTGAGGTACAATATGACTGGCAACAGGGGAAGACCTTCAGGAGGAATTGTGTGTGGGCCCTGAGACTGACTACCAACTCTTGTATGCCTCTCCAAATAGCTGGAGTGGAATTAAATTATAAAAGTTAAGGTATTGGGTTATTTTTCTCTACTGGGTTTAAATCTATGCACAATGTTATAAAAACCACACCATGCCAGCAAATCCCCATGGTTCATAAACTAGTGTGCCATTTCTTTTTCCACCTCTTCTCAGTTATTTTTTTCTGCCAGTGAAATCTGAGACTGAGGGAAGAGAAAATATCTTGTGATTGCAAATACAGTGTGGGATTTTTAAAAGCCTATATAACAAATACTGGCAATGTTTACCTAATAGAATGTTATTTACTTTTCTTTCTGTTGAGGAATCAAAGGTGTGCCTGTGTCTCACAGGAGTTTTCTTAGACTCGTGTTATTTCCTAACCCTTAGCCTAGGCAGGTTCTAGTTTTCCTACTTCATTAACTATTTGTGTTCATGATAATAAAAATATTACAATCCCTTGCATACAGTACCTTACTATTTAAAAACCATGTTGACACAATGGTTTACAGTTAAAATATCATTTTCGCAAACATTGCCATATTTGATTCTCACCATAATCCTATATTGTATGTTATTATCCGTATTTGTAGGTAAATAATCTGAGAGCCAGATAGAGCACAAAGACAGGAAGTGGAATAAGATGTGGTCTTAGTACTGTGACTGCTGTTCTCTGATGCCATCTAGTGCAGGTTCAGCTTAACAAACATGTATTTCTCTTTGAAGCCCCATTGCCATCTGCCCCTTGGTGCCATTGTTCTCTCCGATCTGGGTCAAGACCTGTCTCTGAGTCCTGCATCCCTGTCTTTGGTTGTTGCCTCTGCTTTCCTCTGGCCTCACTGTCTCCTTCGAAGGGGCTTGAAACCCCCTGTGTGAGTAAATGCTGTCGTGGTGGGAGTGAACGGATGGCAGGAAGGGAGGCAGGGACAATGGGGCCCTCTTTCTTTTGTAGTACTTGCTTCACGTCTAGAGTTGTCCTAGAGAGTACAGGTTTCAAGGTAGCAGACACACTCAATTGGGTTGTGTTTGTTGTTGTTGTTTTTTGAAACCGAGTCTCATTCTTTTGCCCGCTAGAGTGCTACGGCATCAGCCTCGCCAACATGCACTCAAACTCCTGGGGTCAAGCAAATCCTCCTGCCCTCAGCCTCCCAAATGCTGGGGACTACAGGCCATGCTGCCACATGCAGGCGCTAATTTGTCTATATATAGTATTTTTAGTTGGCCAATACTTTTTCTATTTAGTAGGATTGGGTTTGTGCTGTTGCCAGGCTGTTAACTCCTGAGCTAAACAATCCTCCTGCTTTCCCCTCCCAGATGTGCCCCAAAGATTTAAGCATGAGCACCGCGCCAGCCCTTGGTTGTTTTTTATAATATCTTATGTTCAGATATATTATAAAAAATCTGAGGCCGGCACCAGTGGGACTTATCCTGTTTAATCCTAGCACTTTCTGAGAGTCAAGGCCGCGAGCAACGTCAAGGGTCAGGCAGTTCGAGAACCACCTGAGCCAAGACGAGACTCATCGGCATTAAAAAATAGAAAAGGCGGGCGGTGCTCACGCCTGTAATCCTAGACTTGGAGGCCACTGAGGCGGCGATTCTTCAAAGGTCCGTTTGAACGAGCCCTGGCGAGACCTCCGTTCTTACCAAAAATAGAAATAATATGCACTAAAAATTAATAAACAAAATGTACCCGGGCCAGGTTGCAAATGCCTGTAGTCTCAGCTACTCGGGAGGCGGAGGCAGGATTGCTTGAGCCCGGGAATTTGAGGTTGCTGTGAGCTAGGCTAATGCCACGCCACTCTAGCCTGGGCAACAGAATGAGACTCTGTTTCAAAAAAAAAAAAAATGCT